TTGATTGTGCAGTGTGTGTGTTGAGTGTGCAGTCTGTGTTGAGTGTGCAGTGTGTGTGTTGAGGGTGCAGTGTGTGTGTTGAGTGTGCGTGTTGGGTGTGCAATGTGTGTGTTGAGTGTGCAGTGTGTGTGTTGAGTGTGCAGTGTATGTGCAGAGTGTGCAGTCTGTGTGTTGAGTGTGCAGTGTGTGTGTTGAGTGTGTAGTGTGTGTGTTGGATGTGCAGTATGTGTGTTGAGTGTGTAGTGTGTGTGTTGAGTGTGCAGTCTGTGTGTGTTGAGTGTGCAGTGTGTGTGTTGAGTGTGCAGTGTGTGTGTTGGGTGTGCAGTCTTTGTGTTGGGTGTGCAGTGTGTGTGTTGAGTGTGCAGTGTGTGTGTTGAGTGTGCAGTGTGTGTGTTGAGTGTGCAGTGTGTGTGTTGGGTGTGCAGTGTGTGTTGAGTGTGCAGTGTGTGTTGAGTGTGCAGTCTGTGTATTGAGTGTGCAGTGTGTGTGTTGACCGTGCAGTCTGTGTGTTGATTGTGCAGTGTGTGTGTTGAGTGTGCAGTGTGTGTGTTGAGGGTGCAGTGTGTGTTGAGTGTGCGTGTTGGGTGTGCAGTGTGTGTGTTGAGTGTGCAGTGTGTGTGTTGAGTGTGCAGTGTATGTGCAGAGTGTGCAGTCTGTGTGTTGAGTGTGCAGTGTGTGTTGAGTGTGCAGTGTGTTGGATGTGCAGTATGTGTGTTGAGTGTGTAGTGTGTGTGTTGAGTGTGCAGTCTGTGTGTGTTGAGTGTGCAGTGTGTGTGTTGAGTGTGCAGTGTGTGTGTGTTGGGCGTGCAGTCTTTGTGTTGGGTGTGCAGTGTGTGTGTTGAGTGTGCAGTGTGTGTGTTGAGTGTGCAGTGTGTGTGTTGAGTGTGCAGTCTGTGTATTGGGTGTGCAGTGTGTGTTGGGTATGCAGTGTGTGTGTTGGGTGTGCAGCGTGTGTGTTGGGTGTGCAGTCTTTGTGTTGGGAGTGCAGTGTGTGTGTTGAGTGTGCAGTGTGTTTTTAGTGTGCAGTGTGTGTGTTGAGCGTGCAGTCTGTGTATTGGGTGTGCAGTGTGTGTGTTGGGTGTGCAGTGTGTGTGTTGGGTGTGCAGTGTGTTGAGTGTGCAGTGTGTGTGTGTGTTGAGGGTGCAGTGTGTGTGTGTTGGGTGTGCAGTGTGTGTGTTGGGTGTGCAGTGTGTGTGCTGGGTGTGCAGTGTGGACCAGGTGTCTGAGAGTGGGGGTTCAGGTGTCTGGGAGTGGGGGTTCAGGTGTCTGGGAGTGGGGGTTCAGGTGTCTGGTAGTGGGGGTTCAGGTGTCTGGGAGTGGGGGTTCAGGTGTCTGGGAGTGGGGGTTCAGGTGTCTGGGAGTGGGGGTTCAGGTGTCTGGGAGTGGGGGTTCAGGTGTCTGGGAGTGGGGGTTCAGGTGTCGGGGAGTGGGGGTTCAGGTGTCTGGGAGTGGGGGTTCAGGTATCTGGGAGTGGGGGTTCAGGTGTCTGGGAGTGGGGGTTCAGGTGTCTGGGAGTGGGGGTTCAGGTGTCTGGGAGTGGGGGTTCAGGTGTCTGGGAGTGGGGGTTCAGGTGTCTGGGAGTGGGGGTTCAGGTGTGTGTTTGTTCAGCCTGGATTCGGTGCCTGGGTGTGCGGCGCACCGAGGAGCCCATGGAGGGATTGGGGTGTGGGGTCACTTGGCTCGGGTTTCTAAGTGAGCGGTATCGGACCGCTCCATGGTTGAAGTGCGCGCAGGGTCACCAGATGGGGGAGGGGCGGGGGGGCGCGCAAAAGGGGGGGGCATTTACCCACGTCTCGCACAAAGACGCCCCCCTCCCTCCCCATACAATCGACCTAATTTTTTTGATCAGGGATGAACAAATCCTCTGGGCGGCCCTGATGTGCACATGTCCGTGTGTTTCTGTGCGTGCACGTGTCCATGCGAGTGGGAAACGCGACTGTAACGTGTCTGTAACGCGTCTGTAACGTGTCTGTACGTGTCTGTAACGTGTATGTAACGTGTATGTAACGCGTCTGTAACGCGTCTGTACGTGTCTGTAACGTGTCTGTAACGCATCTGTACGTGTCTGTAACGTGTTTGTACGTGTCTGTAACGTGTCTGTACGTGTCTTTACGTGTCTTTACGTGTCTTTACGTGTCTGTACGTGTCTCTACGTGTCTGTACGTGCCTATAACGTGTCTGTACGCGTTTATAACGTGTCTATACGTGTCTGTACGTGCCTGTAACGTGTCTGTAACGTGTCTGTAACGCGTCTGTACGTGTCTGTAACGTGTCTGTACGTGTCTGTAACGTGTCTCTACGTGTCTTTAACGTGTCTGTACGTGTCTGTACCGTGTCTGTAACGTGTCTGTAACGTGTCTGTACGTGTCCCTACGTGTTTGTAACGCGTCTGTACGTGTCTGTAACGTGTCCGTTTCTCTGCTCGTTCATCTCAAAACGAGGGCTGCACCTCTGACCTGATTCCTTCGTCTGTCCGTGAATTTCAGCCGCGCGATTCAACTCCTCCCCGGGGCAGATGTACCTGTCGACGGGAGCTCCAGGTGAGAGGGAGACGGGAGAAGGAGGGGCGAGGGAGGCAGTGGGACTCGGGGTAGGGGCCCAATCAGATTCCTCTTGGTTTGTTATCCAGGGCCGGTCAATGGCTCCAAGCCGGGTTGTGGAGTTTCAGCTGATGGCGCGTGCAGGTGAAGCTACTGAGGAACTGCTCTGTGCTGGCGATAGCTTCACCGTCAGCGCTTTCTCACAGACACATAGACTCGCATAGAGACCCATAGACTCCCACAGAGATACATAGACTCGCATAGAGACCCATAGACTCGCATAGAGACCCATAGACTCCCACAGAGATACACAGACTCGCAGAGACCCATAGACTCGCATAGAGACCCATAGACTCCCACAGAGATACATAGACTCGCATAGAGACCCATAGACTCGCATAGAGACCCATAGACTCCCACAGAGATACATAGACTCGCATAGAGACCCATAGACTCGCATAGAGACCCATAGACTCCCACAGAGATACATAGACTCGCATAGAGACCCATAGACTCGCATAGAGACCCATAGACTCCCACAGAGATACATAGACTCGCATAGAGACCCATAGACTCGCATAGAGACCCATAGACTCCCACAGAGATACATAGACTCGCATAGAGACCCATAGACTCACATAGAGAACCATAGACTCCCACAGAGATACACAGACTCGCATAGAGACCCATAGACTCGCATAGAGACCCATAAACTCCCACAGAGATACATAGACTCGCATAAAGACCCATAGACTCGCATAGAGACCCATAGACTCCCACAGAGATACATAGACTCGCATAGAGACCCATAGACTCCCACAGAGATACATAGACTCGCATAGAGACCCATAGACTCGCATAGAGATACATAGACTCGCGTAGACATCCAGACTTAGAGTACCATAGACTCACACAGAGACGTATAGGCACGCATAGAGATCCATAGACGCTGGCTATGACTTCATCCTCGGGAATGTCCCCAGCGGACGGCGCTTGCGGCCCACGCATCTCCCAGGGGGACGTGGTCTGGTGGAGCCTAGCACTGGGTCAACATCATCATCATCGACATAATCAGGATCATCATCGGCATCAGCATCATCTATTAACGCAATAATGAATGACGCTACCTGTACACGTCATCACCTGAGACTTAAAACCCGGGGTGGAGTTTGTTGCCTCCTCAACCTGGAGCCGCGAGCACGGGACCCGGTTCCAAGTCACCAAACCACAGCTGGCCCCACTTGACCCTGAGAGTTGACATTCCTTTTCCCGCGCGGTGACCCCAGTCATGGGTCTGCGCATCCACCCCCCTCACTCACCTCCCCTCGCCCTCCTCCCCTGGTCTAGATGTGGATTCCCGACATAACGGTGAAATGTTCACTTATCAATTCAAACAAGAAGACTCGTACACACGCATGGGGTCTGTAATTTCTTCCCACGTGCGTTTGTCCGCGGAAGTAAATCGCGGCAGTCAACGCGTGCTCGCCACTCTGTCATAGATCAGAAACATGGTCGTGACCGAAGCAAGTGGGACAAAAAACGGAAAAGTGGGCATAGAGCGTGCCTGACCCCCTGGTGCCCCCCGACTCCGCAGGCACTTTTGACTACTTGGCGGAGGAGCTGGGGCCCTCAGACGCCGACCTGGGCCTCCAGGGGCTGGCCGACCTGCCGGGGGGCGAGTCCCCCCAAAGCCTCGGGGGCGGCGGAGCTGGGAACCCCCTCTCCGCGGGGGGCACCTGGGACCCAGATGCACAACCCCATGGTGAGCAGAAAGAGATCACCCACCCCAACCGACCGCATATGTCTTCCCAGAGATAAATACATAGCCGTGCACTCCAGGGCTTAGTTTCGGTGGAGTTTGTTTGGGTCGGCGAACTGGAAAGTATCCTCTTCTTTGGTTCTTTCGGTAAAGTCACGTAGAATGAGAATAAAATAATAAATTGATAAAATAAAATAACACAATAATATTAATAATAATAACACCACGTCCACGATGCATCTCGCTATCGCTTCTGCTACTCGTTACGTGCTACCTACTCCACCCTACCAGCCGCTCGAAGGAGATATTTGCTAATAAATTAAGCAGTGGGTGCAGCACCTTGTGGCAGAGAGGATGGCATCACGTAATTATTACTCTCTTCTCCCCACCAAAAGCGATCAAACTGAGCGAGTGGGGCACGTGGTTGGGTTACAGATGGCACTCTGCCCCTCACTGATGTCAGTGTTGGGGTTTTTTCCGGGAAATCTTTTACATGAAGCCAAACACCCATTTATAAATTAGAAATCACACGCGCAGAGTTATCGTGGTATGCTTCTACGTTTAACTTCTTTCGCACCGTACGCAACCAACCGTGCTAATCGGAGGTGCGGGAATGTGTAGGGCCCTCCTGAATAGCATAGTCTTGAGACTCAGTGGAGACGTGCAGGTAGATCAGTGACCGACTCGCTGTACTGACTCCTGCCTGCTCTTCTGTGCCCAGGCGAGGAGGGCGGCTTCCCTGGGGGACCTGGGATGGGACCCCCCCTCGACTTGGGTCGCGCGCTGCCCAGCCCCGCGATGATCACTCCCAACCACACCGGTGCGACCGCGCGGGAGACGGGGGAGGGAGACGGGGGAAGGAGATGGGGAGGGAGACGGGGGGGTGATGGGGAGGGAGACGGGGGAAGGAGATGGGGAGGGAGACGGGGGGGGGGTGATGGGGAGGGAGACGGGGAGAGAGATGGGGATTGAGGGACAAGCGCTAAAGTACATTTTTATTTTGGAAAAAATAATTCGCAGCCAATCACTCTCCCTGACCTCCCCTCTCTTGGAAGCCCTCAACCCAGCCCTATGCCCGTCTACCCTGCATACCCTAGAACTACCATAACCTCAAACCTATCCCAACCCTACTATAACTCTACCCTAATCCTTAACCCTTGCTTTAAAACTGACTACTTCCGGGGTCTCCGTGACTGCGACGTTGACTTCTCTTTGCAATCTGTTCGACACCGGGGGGGGGGGGGGCACGAGCAGCTGACCGTGACCCCCCCCCAGCCTCCTGGGATTCCCGAAATGAGCCTCGACCTCCAGCCCCGCCCCATGTTTGCGCGCGGGATTTGTGGTCACGGGAGAGGCGCCGCGAGGAGTGTCGGGGGCATCTGCGGAGCTGGGGAGATGGGGACCTAGAGAGCTAGGGAGATAGAGAGCTAGGGAGATGGGGAGCTAGGGAGATGGGGATCTGCGGAGCTGGGGAGATGGGGAGCTGGGGAGATGGGGAGCTAGGGAGATGGGGAGATGGGGAGCTTGGGAGATGGGAAGATAGAGAGCTAGGGAGATGTGGAGCTAGAGAGCTAGGGAGATAGAGAGCTAGGGAGATGGGGAGATAGAGAGCTAGGGAGATGGGGAGATAGAGAGCTAGGGAGATGGGAGCTAGGGAGATAGAGAGCTAGGGAGATGGGGAGATAGAGTTAGGGAGATGGGGGGATAGAGAGCTAGGGAGATGTGGAGATAGGGAGATGGGGAGATAGAGCTAGGGAGATGGGGAGATAGAAAGTTAGGGAGATAGAGAGCTAGGGAGCTGGGGAGATAGAGAGCTAGGGAGATGGGGAGCTAGGGAGCTGGGGAGATAGAGAGCTAGGGAGATGGGGAGATAGAGAGCTAGAGAGATGGGGAGATAGAGTTAGGGAGATGGGGAGATAGAGAGCTAGGGAGATGTGGAGCTAGAGAGCTAGGGAGATAGAGAGCTAGGGAGATGGGGAGATAGAGAGCTAGGGAGATGGGGAGATAGAGAGCTAGGGAGATGGGAGCTAGGGAGATGGGGAGATAGAGAGCTAGGGAGATGGGGAGATAGAGAGTTATGGAGATGGGGGGATAGAGAGCTAGGGAGATGGGGAGCTAGGGAGATGGGGAGATAGAGAGCTAGGGAGATGGGGAGATAGAGAGTTAGGGAGATGGGGAGATAGAGAGCTAGGGAGATGGGGAGATAGAGAGCTAGGGAGATGGGGAGCTAGGGAGCTGGGGAGATAGAGAGCTAGGGAGATGGGGAGATAGAGAGCTAGGGAGATGGGGAGATAGAGTTAGGGAGATGGGGAGATAGAGCTAGGGAGATAGAGAGCTAGGGAGATGGGGAGATAGAGAGCTAGGGAGATGGGAGCTAGGGAGATGGGGAGATAGAGAGCTAGGGAGATGGGGAGATAGAGAGTTAGGGAGATGGGGAGATAGAGAGCTAGGGAGCTGGGGAGATAGAGAGCTAGGGAGATGGGGAGCTAGGGAGCTGGGGAGATAGAGAGCTAGGGAGATGGGGAGATAGAGAGCTAGGGAGATGGGGAGATAGAGTTAGGGAGATGGGGAGATGGGGAGATAGAGAGCTAGGGAGATGTGGAGCTAGAGAGCTAGGGAGATAGAGAGCTAGGGAGACGGGGAGATAGAGAGCTAGGGAGATGGGGAGATAGAGAGCTAGGGGGATGGGAGCTAGGGAGATGGGGAGATAGAGAGCTAGGGAGATGGGGAGATAGAGAGTTAGAGAGATGGGGGGATAGAGAGCTAGGGAGATGGGGAGCTAGGGAGATGGGGAGATAGAGAGCTAGGGAGATGGGGAGATAGAGAGTTAGGGAGATGGGGAGATAGAGAGCTAGGGAGATGGGGAGATAGAGAGCTAGGGAGATGGGGAGCTAGGGAGCTGGAGAGATAAGAGAGCTAGGGAGATGGGGAGATAGAGAGCTAGGGAGATGGGGAGATAGAGTTAGGGAGATGGGGAGATGGGGAGATAGAGAGCTAGGGAGATGGGGAGCTAGGGAGATAGAGAGCTAGGAAGATGGGGAGATAGAGAGTTAGGGAGATGGGGAGATGGGGAGATAGAGAGCTAAGGAGATGGGGAGATGGGGAGATAGAGAGCTAGGGAGATGGGGAGCTAGGGAGCTGGGGAGATAGAGAGCTAGGGAGATGGGGAGATAGAGAGTTAGGGAGATGGGGAGATAGAGAGCTAGGGAGATGGGAAGATAGAGAGCTAGGGAGATGGGGAGATAGGGAGATGGGGAGATAGAGAGTTATGGAGATGGGGAGATAGAGAGCTAGGGAGATGGAAAGATAGGGAGATGCGGAGCTAGGGAGATGGGGAGATAGAGCTAGGGAGATGGAAAGATAGAGAGCTAGGGAGATGCAGAGCTAGCGAGATGGGGAGATAGAGAGCTAGGGAGATGGAAAGATAGAGAGCTAGGGAGATGGGGAGCTAGGGAGATGGGGACCTAGAGAGCTAGGGAGATGGGGAGATAGGGAGATGGGGAGCTAGGGAGATGGGGAGATAGAGAGCTAAGGAGATGGGGATATAGAGAGCTAGGGAGATGGGGAGCTTGGGAGATGGGAAGATATAGAGCTAGGGAGATGGAGAGATAGGGAAATGGGGAGATAGGGAGATGGGGAGCTAGGAAGATAGGGAGATAGGGAGATGGGAAGATAGGGGATGGGGAGATAGTGAGATGGGACCTAGGGAGCTTGGGAGATAGGGAGATGGGGAGATAGGGAGATGGGGAGCAGGAGAGCTCGGGATCTGTGCGCGAGTCTCAGCTGCCGGGTGTGGGGGTCTAGGGGGAGGGGGGACTTGTGGGCATCTCTCAACAACACCCCCATACCCCCCCACTCACTCACCCACCGGGGTGATAATAGCGATAATGATGTTGATGATGTGGATGGTGATAATGGCAATGATAATAATTGTAGTCTTGATTTGAAGCTTTCGTGGCTGCAGGAATCCGTACTCTTTGGTTCTTTCGGTAAAGTCACATAGGTAGAAAATAAAATAAAATACCTACGTGACTTTACCGAAAGAACCAAAGAGTAGTAATTGCAGTAATGATTTTGTGGTGGTGAGGATGATGTAATGGTGGTGATAATATAATGATTGTAATGATGATGGTGATGTTTTGAGAATGGTTATGTTGATGATGGTGATGGCAATGATAATGCTGATGATGGTGATGATGTTGACGATAGAGATGATGTTGATGTGTTGCAGCGAGCATTCACCTTTGGCAGTTCCTCAAGGAGCTGCTGCTGCAGCCCGAGGCCTACAGCCACTGCATTCGTTGGATCGACCGCGAGAAAGGTGCCGACCCCTGACCCCTCGCCGTGTCCAATCATCACAGACCATGAACCAGACGCCGTCTAAATACAGATTGCGTTGCATTGTATAAACTCACATAGAGACCCATAGATAAACTCACACAGAGGCCCATAGATAAACTCACATAGAGGCCCAGAGATAAACTCACATAGAGACCCAGAGATAAACTCACATAGAGGCCCAGAGATAAACTCACACAGAGGCCCAGAGATAAACTCACATAGAGGCCCATAGATAAACTCACATAGAGGCCCAGAGATAAACTCACATAGAGACCCAGAGATAAACTCACATAGAGACCCAGAGATAAACTGACATAGAGGCCCAGAGATAAACTCACACAGAGGCCCAGAGATAAACTCACATAGAGGCCCATAGATAAACTCACATAGAGGCCCAGAGATAAACTCACATAGAGGCCCAGAGATAAACTCACATAGAGGCCCATAGATAAACTCACATAGAGGCCCAGAGATAAACTCACACAGAGGCCCAGAGATAAACTCACATAGAGGCCCAGAGATAAACTCACATAGAGGCCCAGAGATAAACTCACATAGAGGCCCAGAGATAAACTCACATAGAGGCCCAGAGATAAACTCACATAGAGGCCCAGAGATAAACTCACATAGAGGCCCAGAGATAAACTCACATAGAGGCCGGGAGATAAACTCACATAGAGGCCCAGAGATAAACTCACATAAAGGCCCAGAGATAAACTGACATAGAGACCCATAGATAAACTCACATAGAGGCCCAGAGATAAACTCACATAGAGGCCCAGAGATAAACTCACATAGAGGCCCAGAGATAAACTCACATAGAGGCCCAGAGATAAACTCACATAGAGGCCTAGAGATAAACTCACATAGAGGCCCAGAGATAAACTCACATAGAGGCCCAGAGATAAACTCACATAGAGGCCCAGAGATAAACTCACATAGAGGCCCAGAGATAAACTCACATAGAGGCCCATAGATAAACTCACATAGAGGCCCAGAGATAAACTCACATAGAGACCCAGAGATAAACTCACATAGAGGCCCATAGATAAACTCACATAGAGGCCCATAGATAAACTCACATAGAGGCCCAGAGATAAACTCACACAGAGGCCCAGAGATAAACTCACATAGAGACCCAGAGATAAACTCACATAGAGGCCCAGAGATAAACTCACATAGAGACCCATAGATAAACTCACATAGAGGCCCAGAGATAAACTGACATAGAGGCCCAGAGATAAACTCACATAGAGACCCATAGATAAACTCACATAGAGGCCCAGAGATAAACTTACATAGAGGCCCAGCGATAAACTCACATAGAGGCCCAGAGATAAACTCACATAGAGGCCCAGAGAGAAACTCACATAGAGGCCCAGAGATAAACTCACATAGAGGCCCAGAGATAAACTCACATAGAGGCCCAGAGATAAACTCACATAGAGGCCCAGAGATAAACTCACATAGAGGCCCAGAGATAAACTCACATAGAGGCCCAGAGATAAACTCACATAGAGGCCCAGAGATAAACTCACATAGAGGCCCAGAGATAAACTCACATAGAGGCCCAGAGATAAACTCACATAAAGGCCCAGAGATAAACTCACATAGAGACCCATAGATAAACTCAAATAGAGGCCCAGAGATAAACTCACATAGAGGCCCAGAGATAAACTCACATAGAGGCCCAGAGATAAACTCACATAGAGGCCCAGAGATAAACTCACATAGAGGCCCAGAGATAAACTCACATAGAGGCCCAGAGATAAACTCACATAGAGGCCCAGAGATAAACTCACATAGAGGCCCAGAGATAAACTCACATAGAGGCCCAGAGATAAACTCACATAGAGGCCCAGAGATAAACTCACATAGAGGCCCAGAGATAAACTCACATAGAGGCCCAGAGATAAACTCACATAGAGGCCCAGAGATAAACTCACATAGAGGCCCAGAGATAAACTCACATAGAGGCCCAGAGATAAACTCACATAGAGGCCAAGAGATAAACTCACATAGAGGCCCAGAGATAAACTCACATAAAGGCCCAGAGATAAACTCACATAGAGACCCATAGATAAACTCACATAGAGGCCCACAGATAAACTCACATAGAGGCCCAGAGATAAACTCACATAGAGGCCCAGAGATAAACTCACATAGAGGCCCAGAGATAAACTCACATAGAGATCCATAGATAAACTTACATAGAGACCCATAGGGGGACTCACATAGAGACTCATATACTCACATAGAGACGCAGAGATAAACTCATTTCGAGACCCATAGGTGGACTCACATAGAGACCCATAGATAAACTCACATAGAGACTCATAAACTCACATAGAGATCCATAGACTCCCTTCCCCTGTTCCAGTCCATGCTCCAGACTTTCGTCTTCTCCTCTGCCTACACGTGCCTCTCTCTTTCCGTGCAATGGACCACGTGCTCTGGGTGCGTTGTGAGACGCGGTTCTCGCATCGAGACGCCGCGATGTAGCAGCTCTCAGAGCACAGCCCTCGCTGGGTTCCAGTGTGGATCAGACGCGGCTCGGCGAGTAACATTATCTGTCTGCTTCTCATTCACTTCCCCTTACGCCTATTGATTCTCGGGTGGGTGGGGGGAGAACGTTAAGCACTTGTAAATATTTGTCTGTGTCTTAGCAAGGGGTATATCTTCAGCTGGCGGTGGAGGGGGCGATGTCGCAATGGATATTGTACTGCGCCACGAACCCCGGCAAACTGCGTTCGATTCCCAGCCACGGCTAACAGCAGTGGCGAGCAGTATCTGAACCTCGTCTGCCCCCCCATACCCCACCCCCCCCGCCCCGCACTTCACCAGCCCGCGCGCTGCGTTACCAACTCTGCTGCATGCGGAGAGCCTCACCCGACAGAAGGGCTGATCGTCACAATGATCGTGACAATGATCGTGACAATGATCGTGACAATGATCGTGACAATGATCGTGACAATGATCGTCTTATTGTAATAGGTTTTTACCCTTTTAGCTGGCACAAAAACTGACACCTTTATACAAGGGATCATGTTTGCAATAACCACAACACAAGCAGTCAAAAAATGCAAACGAAAAGAGACAACTCTGATAATGATATGCACTGTCCTTGAATTTGATTGGTCCACACCCGAGACGGCTTTTCTTAGAGCCTAGTCTCCACTGGTGTTGGACCAGATGACGCCAAAAGGCGTACGTGCCAGCTAAAAGGGTAATAACCTATGACTATATCTTGTTACTGGCAAAGGAGGTCTCATGATCGTCTTATTATTTAGTTTTCCGTTCCATCGATTTTCCACACCTTTTTTTATCACTCGCAGAACAACAGCGACAAATCGCATTCCTGTAACGAGATGAGGTCTCTGTCCAGGAGAGGTTGTAGCATGGGCCACGATGCTGACATATCCAACCATGTTAATTAGCTCTAACACAACGGTCTCCACCCCCCTCCACCATTCCACGCCCCACTCTCCGGGTCCCCCTCTCCCATCCTCACCCCAACATCAATCATCACTCCTCATAATATCATGCCCCCCCCCCCCCCCGTCTCCCCCACGCTCTCTCAGCCATCTTCAAGATCGAGGACTCGGTGGAGGTGGCTCGACTGTGGGGCATCAGGAAGAACCGCCCCGCCATGAACTACGACAAGCTGAGCCGCTCCATCCGCCAGTACTACAAGAAGGGCATCATCCGCAAGACGGAGATCTCCCAGAGGCTCGTCTACCAGTTCGTGAAGCCCGTGTGAGCGGCGCCGAGACCCCGGGCCGCCAGACACGGGCAATGCCGACTCTGACCCTCGGGGATGATGACTCCAAACACCGGGGACCACCGACTCCAGACATCAGGGGGCTATCCATTTTAAGACATTTTGGGGCCACCGACTCCTGGCCAAAGTGGGCTCCAACATTGAGGTGTAGCGGGTCTATAAACAGACACACAGCCGGTTAGACAGACGGACAGACAGTCAGTCAGACTGTCAGTCAGTCAGACGAGGCAGGCTGCCCTCGCGTTGAAACAAAAGCACTTTTCCTGCTGCAGGGACCCTGCGGAGCCACGTGCTCCTCCGTGTGTCCCCATCCTCGCCTCACCCTCACTTCTCCCTCACCTCGTCGCGTCCCGCCCCCGCTGCTCGTCACGCTCCTTGAGTCGCGGCGAAGGGGGCGAGAGGTGGGGGAGTTGGGGGGCGTGAGAGAGTGGGGGGCTCGGCAAGGGGGGTGGGGGAGTTGGGGGGCGTGAGAGAGTGGGGGGCTCGGCAAGGGGGGTGGGGGATTTCGGGGGCGTGAGAGAGTGGGGGGCTCGGTAAGGGGGGATGAAGGAGTTGGGGGGCGTGAGAGAGTGGGGGGCTCGGCAAGGGGGGTGGGGGTTGCTGGGGCGTCTTGGGAAAGTGGGGGGCCTGCTGACAAAGTCGCCCCCTTCCACCGAGGGGTTGATTGACAGGGTGGGGAAGGGGCTGGCTAATTACGGTAGTTAATTGGTCTCTCCTTGATGCACTTTAGTGACTATCGCGCACCCCCCACTCGACATGCCCCCCCCATCCCCAAACACCTCCTCCCCACCCGTCCGTGGCATACTGACCGGTCACCAACCGTCCCGTTTTGATACTCGCTGCTGCCCGATTGTGTTGTGTATCGTTTTATACGCTGCGTGGGGAGGTGGCGACTCTTCACTCAAGAGTTTTAGACTCGACACGAGATCGCGGCTCCTCCTCTCCTAGTCTCGCGTCACAAATTTTTATTAATTATCGGAGTGATCACCGCCACCACCACCACCACCACTGTTGTTGTTATTGTTGTTGTGATCGTGAAGTTGATGAATGTTGCTGTTAGCTTTAGATTTTACAGACGTTACTGTGGCAGTGGCCACGATCATTTTTGTACGCGTCTCGCCTCTCCCCGTGCCTCTAGAGGGAGATGATGATGATGATGATTATTATGTCAACGTTAGATTATGATGATGGTTCTATTGTGCAGAGGAAGTGAAATTAAAGTGACTGATTTGACGCGTGGCCTCTTCGTAGCGTGACGGGGGACAGGATGACTTGACCTAGTGTATGATTGCCTACCAGCCCGCACTGACCAGCCTGGTGAAGTATGGTCAAACAACCCCCCATGTCCGAAGGGTCAGAGTGTCCACTGTACGAGTGTCCACACTGAGAGCGAGGGAGAGAAAAGCAAACAACCACCACCACCACCACTCAGTGACGGGGACTTCACCACGGCGCTTGTTCGGGGCTTCAAGTAACGTGGAGTATCGAAGCCCCGCTGACGGGAGGTTACAGACCAGACCCAGGTGTGATGGGGGTGACTGAGATCACTGGCAGGTGCACTCGCGCTCTTCACTGTGCCAACTTGAAGCGTTCTGCAAGCCTGGCGCTCCGCTCGTTGTTGTGAGCGTCGCTCCTAGTACACACACACAGGCGCGCACACGTAGGGCGAGAGAGACACGGGCGTGGGGTGGAGACGATGTTGGTTGGGGGGTCTACTCCAATCAGCGAACGAGTTAATCGGAACCTGGTAGGCACCGTAAGTGAAACGCTACGAAACGTTTGTTTATGAATAAATATATAAATGTAGCCAGGTGGGGACTTTGCGGCACTGTGGGGTTCGGGATTCCGGTGGAGGAGTGGGCCCCAGACACCCGATTCGGTGTGTAGAGGGTGTCTAGGCTAAGGGTGTCTAGGGTGAGGGTGTCTAGGGTGAGGGTGTCTAGGGTGAGGGTGTCTAGGGTGAGGGTGTCTAGGGTGAGGGTGTCTAGAGTGAAGGTGTCTAGAGTGAGGGTGTCTAGGGTGAGGGTGTCTAGAGTGAGGATGTCTAGAGTGAGGGTGTCTAGAGTGAGGGTGTCTAGGGTGAGGGTGTCTAGAGTGAGGGTGTCTAGAGTGGGGGTGTCTAGGGTGAGGGTGTCTAGAGTGAGGGTGTCTAGGGTGAGGGTGTCTAGGGTGAGGGTGTCTAGAGTGAAGGTGTCTAGAGTGAGGGTGTCTAGGGTGAGGGTGTCTAGAGTGAGGGTGTCTAGAGTGAGGGTGTCTAGAGTGAGGGTGTCTAGAGTGAGGTTGTCTAGAGTGAGGGTGTCTAGGGTGAGGGTGTCTAGAGTGGGGGTGTCTAGAGTGAGGGTGTCTAGGGTGAGGGTGTCTAGAGTAAGGGTGTCTAGGCTGAGGGTGTCTAGGGTGAGGGTGTCTAGGGTGAGGGTGTCTAGGGTGAGGGTGTCTAGGGTGAGGGTGTCTAGGGTGAGGGTGTCTAGAGTGAAGGTGTCTAGAGTGAGGGTGTCTAGAGTGAGGGTGTCTAGAGTGGGGGTGTCTAGGGTGAGGGTGTCTAGAGTGAGGGTGTCTAGAGTGAAGGTGTCTAGGGTGAGGGTGTCTAGGGTGAGGGTGTCTAGAGTGAGGGTGTCTAGGGTGAGGGTGTCTACAGTGAGGGTGTCTAGAGTGGGGGTGTCTAGGGTGAGGGTGTCTAGAGTGAGGGTGTCTAGAGTGAGGGTGTCTAGGGTGAGGGTGTCTAGGGTGAGGGTGTCTAGAGTGAAGGTGTCTAGAGTGAGGGTGTCTAGGGTGAGGGTGTCTAGAGTGAGGGTGTCTAGAGTGAGGGTGTCTAGAGTGAAGGTGTCTAGAGTGAGGGTGTCTAGAGTGAGGGTGTCTAGAGTGAGGGTGTCTAGGGTGAGGGTGTCTAGAGTGAGGGTGTCTAGAGTGGGGGTGTCTAGGGTGAGGGTGTCTAGAGTGAGGGTGTCTAGAGTGAGGGTGTCTAGGGTGAGGGTGTCTAGGGTGAGGGTGTCTAGAGTGAGGGTGTCTAGAGTGAGGGTGTCTAGGGTGAGGGTGTCTAGAGTGAGGGTGTCTAGGGTGAGGGTGTCTAGAGTGAGGGTGTCTAGAGTGAGGGTGTCTAGGGTGAGGGTGTCTAGGGTGAGGGTGTCTAGAGTGAAGGTGTCTAGAGTGAGGGTGTCTAGAGTGAGGGTGTCTAGGGTGAGGGTGTCTAGGGTGAGGGTGTCTAGGGTGAGGGTGTCTAGAGTGAAGGTGTCTAGAGTGAGGGTGTCTAGGGTGAGGGTGTCTAGGGTGAGGGTGTCTAGAGTGAGGGTGTATAGGGTTAGGGTATCTAGAGTAAGGGTGTCTAGAGTGAGGGTGTCTAGGGTGAGGGTGTCTAGAGTGAGGGTGTCTAGAGTGAGGGTGTCTAGAGTGAGGGTGTCTAGAGTGAGGGTGTCTAGGGTGAGGGTGTCTAGAGTGAGGGTGTCTAGAGTGAAGGTGTCTAGAGTGAAGGTGTCTAGGGTGAGGGTGTCTAGGGTGAGAGTGTCTAGAGTGAGGGTGTCTAAGGTGAGGGTGTCTAGAGTGAGGGTGTCTAGAGTGAGGGTGTCTAGGGTGAGGGTGTCTAGAGTGAAGGTGTCTAGGGTGAGGGTGTCTAGAGTGAGGGTGTCTAGAGTGAGGGTGTCTAGAGTAAAGGTGTCTAGAGTGAGGGTGTCCAGGGTGAGAGTGTCTAGAGTGAGGGTGTCTAAGGTTAGGGTGTCTAGAGTGAGGGTGTCTAGAGTGAGGGTGTCTAGGGTGAGGGTGTCTAGAGTGAGGGTGTCTAGGGTGAGGGTGTCTAGGGTGAGGGTGTCTAGGGTGAGGGTGTCTAGAGTGAGGGTGTCTATAGTGAGGGTGTCTAGGCTGAGGGTGTCTAGAGTGAGGGTATCGAGAGGGAGGGTGTCTAGAGTGAGGGTGTCTAGAGTGAGGGTGTCTAGCATAGCCCAACTTCAGGTTCGCAATCACATTCACTCATTAGAACGGTTGGCTACGTACGGTGCGACCGAAGTTCAACATTCATTCATGAAACCATTATTTTCTGTCGTAGCATATATAGCGGCATCTCGTGGCAACAGCGGCATGACGTGAACTCATTGCACGCCTTACGTCTTACGGTGAAACAGAGAAAACATGTCAATCAATGCGTGTCACCCGCTGTGACGTGGATGGGAAAACACGCGCCCAACAATGACTCTGATCGTCAATGACACCATGGTCTTGAAAGGGAAATAGAGAGAATGGCCCTTCTCCGTGGCACATGGTACATGAAGAAGGGTGATTGCCCGAAACGTCGCGTTATATTGACGAGTGTGTCGAGTTGTTGTTGCTCACTGTGTTTGCGCACCACGGCCAACACTGCAGTCGCAGCAGCATCACCACGCACCTGAAATGAGCTTCATTTTGCTGGACACGCCTGTTCGCGACACGTCTATTCGCGACACGTCTGTTCGCGACACGTGGGTCCGCTCGCGACAAAACAGGGTCCCTGCCGCAGCTGCTGCACGCTACTGAGAGACCAACAACACATATCACACATAATCGGGGAAGAGGAGAGAGCATGGAGAGAGGATGGAGGGAGCATGGAGAGATTGTAATCACACCGAGACACAGAGGGGCGCATGGGTCACAGGACAAGCGCGAGTTGGAGACAACATTTTGACTGTTTACACGGGGTAAGTTGGACTCAGGCTGGAGACGTTATGACTGTTTACACGGGGTAAGTTGGACTTAGGCAGGAGAGGTTATGACTGTTTACACGGGGTAAGTTGGACTTAGGCAGGAGAGGTTATGACTGTTTACACGGGGTAAGTTGGACTCAGGCAGGAGACGTTATGACTGTTTACACGGGGTAAGTTGGACTTAGGCAGGAGATGTTATGACTGTTTACATGGGGTAAGTTGGACTCAGGCAGGAGATGTTATGACTGTTTACACGGGGTAAGTTGGACTCAGGCAGGAGACGTTATGGGCTTAAAGGAACGATGGTGACGACGATAAATGAGACGGGGAACGGAGTGGCAACCTGCGGTGTAAGATCGTGCCGCGAGGACATCCACCGAGGAGATGAAGCAATGAGTTCAGCTCGCGCTGGAGCAGGATGGATTTTGGCTACCTGGGACAGTGAGATATGGAGACGACGTGGGGTCGTTCTTCATCCAACAGTGGATAAACCGTAGCTGACGATGACTGATATGAAATGAATATAATATTCTACTTCACGCACGATCCAATGCGTGTATCGTGAGCTAATGAATCAATCCATCCTCGGCGTGTCCACAGTGGACGAGTGGGTCTTCAATCAACGCCAAGCCGATTCATCGACACTCGCCGCTCGATTAAACTCGAGATGCCGCGCGCGTCACCGCTGTTTGAGCACCGCGCCTCGCGGC